ACCACATTACTTGACAAAGAATTCATTCACCACTAGAGGAAGAATATACGTCGATAGTTCAGTGATACAATGACTGCCATACACACGGAAGGTGCAGACTTGATTCCCAGCCGACACATTTCTAAACCACAATCTAGCCCGTACTGAACATAGAATAGACGGAAAGGTTGATCGAGGCTAGAGGCTCCAACCCGTAAAAACAACACCACAGCCACTGAAACTTCATAGCGTTAGGCTTGAAGCTCAGTGCTCTAATAGGAACCCAGAGGAATGAAAAAAAGAAGAATTGACATGAAATAATATAATATGAAGAACACAAATAATTGAAGCTATTAAATTTTTATGCATCGAATTTAGGATTATAATAATGCCATTGTACGCATTCAGGTACTTACATACAGATAAGAATGTCTAAAAGGTTTTTCACTCAAACAGTAAGCAAAATGATCGATGGAAGTCAGATTCAAAGAATCACTGTCTATGATAATCATTTTTCTTTTTTTCCGAAATCGTGTTACTTAAAGCATTTTAATTACTCTTAACTTTGTAGTATTTAATAGCACGATAACAAAACTGTCTATGGATATGACTAGCAATTCACTTTATTGTATTTCGTAGAAATATTACTTCTATTATATATATATATATATATATATATATATATATATATATATATTGAGGTCATTCAGCTGAAAGCACATAACCACAGTTGTTATAAAATCGATTTCGACAACAAGCAAAAAACGAGAAATTTGAATTATCCAACGACGCACACCTGAATTTCATTCATACTCTTGAAATTCAATCGTATGTCTATTGATTTTTTTAATATTTGTGGTATTATCAATACGGCACAATTAAACAAACAACCAAAGAAAGAAAGAAACCACATTCTGGCCTAACAGTCGAGATTTAATATTACTTCACAGATATACAGAAGGCAAGCAAGAGAGAGGGGGATGACAGGTAAGCGCTATGTTTTCTAAACAATAAATGAATAACAAACTTGTCATACATATAGATTATCAAATGAATGAAATAGGTAAACAATAATAAAAACGATTTCCAATAACCACTTTTATTCGTAAATATCAGGAAATGCCCTTAATGCCTATGCCTCATAATGTACACAGAAAATTGTTTTCGACTGTTGGTTTGCGGGGATTTGATTAGCTTCAAGCTAGATAAAGAACTGACATCAGCTATAGAACTGATAGCGTCCACTAAGTCCGGTGTTAGGACATATACTCGTCGATGGACACTGGCTGGCAATGGAGCTGTATATCTCGAACTGGCACCGATTGAATTGTCAGCGGGGTCACCTTGTAATCCATACGTCCTGGGTTCAACCGCTGATGGGGTCATGGGTGCGTACTGTTGCACAGTCTCAAACAGCTGTTCAACGCTCCCTGGGTCTCAGTGGTTTCCTAACTGATGTCAGTTCGCTGTCTAACTTGAGAATAGATTACATCAATATTCATTTCAGTAGGTAATTTTGTGATGAAAAAGGCATTTTATATGCTCATACTTTTTTTATCGTAGACAGAGCAAAATTCGTACCTGTCATTGACTTTATCTACTATTTTTTAAAAGGATATCATCAGAATTGTGATTTTGATGAAAATAAAATTCAATGAGACGAGTAGTCAAAGTTCATTATTTAGCTCTAATTATTAGTGGATATGAAGCGTTCATTGAAACCCCTTAGAAAAAGATTTCATAGAAATTCACTAATGCATGAGTCGAAAGAAACAAGTCCAGCATTAATTTACCATGCAATTAAGCAACTGGTAAGATAATAAGCGTAATATACTAGGATGTTGCTCATAACTTTACCATAAGAGAACTGAATAACCAAAACACGCATACATAAATTTACTTTTTTGTTTGGTGGAAATATCATCAGAATGCATAGGGCAAATAAAACCAATTAGCGGAGGGTAAAATCAGTCCGAGTCTTCGGTTAAATACCTAGGGGTGTGTGATAAGGAAATAATTTTTATCTTCGTATCTGACACAGGTCAGCTAAAAGGGGTTCCAAGTATATCCCAGCACATTTAACTGACAAGATAACTTTGTGATTTGACTTGAACATCTGATTTTTCCTGTGGAAGTCACAAGCGAGTTCTACAACTGGATCTTACTTATTTATACGATGCTAACCACAGATTGTTTGATTTTTATGTAGGGAGTACAAATATATGTTTACCAATTTGACTAGAACACATGGCATGCATGTTGATTCGTTGTATTTTCCCACAGGTAGTTGTAACTGGAAAAGGATTAGATTAAAGAATGATCATTCACATTGATGATGTGCAATTTTCAGTCATTTCTCTACCAGACTCTATACCCTGTGGTTTGATACACCTTATTTCTTTACCCTCATTTTCACTTCCACATCTCGTGTTATCACCATTATCCATGAGTTTGTGGTCTTATTTACACAGTGGTTATATTGTAACGATTCACTGTGATCATCTAATCAGTACCGTTATTTCGAAGAATTACGATGATAAATCAGTAGTCAATTTAAAAAGATTCACAAATGATTATCGAGAAACCGATGAATACCTTCAGACAATTAATTAAGGACAAATAGGCGTTGAAAAGGTAATCGGACAGAAGCAGTTGAAATAAAATACACCACAATATATGAGAACAATTAAGGGAACAAGTGAAAAATTAAGGACATAAACAATAGATAACAGGTAAATCTTAAATTATGTGAAATAAACATAATCCAATCTTACAACCCAACCCCTACAATCCCACTGCAAAAAAGGCACCAATCCCCTTCAGAGTATGTAGACACAAAAACACCCTCGAAAAGAAAAATGGTAACAAGACATAAAACGACATAAAATAATGAGTTGGCCTTCCCTTTTCGCTAACAATATTTCAGTGAATAAAATTTAGCCTAAACATGGATGTCTACAAAATATAGAATAAAGTCAGTGGAGCGACAGAAAGACGATGAAATCACAAATAACTGACTGTAAAAAGGAAGAGATAAATAAAGACAACATACGCTCATCATTCGATATATATATATATATATATATTATACGGCAGAAGGAAGGACGCCACAACAACAAGGTAGTTATCATACCAAGTAAATTGACAATGTCAACAAAGGAAAAATGTCACCTTAAATATTCTTCATAAAGGAAAAAGGGTGGGGGTGGGAGAAAAAGAGTGGTTTGGCCTACAAACAATAATGAATTTAGATACAGTTATTCGCAAAGCAACGACGAAACACACTCGATACGAATGAAATATGCGTAAAGAAGGAGTAGATGGAAAAAGTGAATGTGGACGGAAAAAGAATGCCTATTCCGTGTATATGAACAGCCTTTAAATATACGTATACATACACATTTACCTGTAGCCAATGTGAACTATTGATTTGAAAACTACACATAATTATATTTTGCCCATTGACTACTTTGCAAGGTCATTTTTACTTCACCAATGCAGAAATCCTTTAAGTGTAGTGAAAATATCAACCTACTAGTTTCACAGTCAACGTAAACTGTCTACTGTCAGAATAGTTAGACTGTAATGACTATCGGTCCAATCGAAATGTTTCAACCTTGAATTCCATTTTTATCTACTCTCTAATGGTAATTAATTAAAACTCATTATATGTGCGCTAAACTAGTTTGAGTGAAATATTTTGGCCAATACATTATTTATTTTTATTTTCTTGTTTAGTAAACATTCGGCTAAAATCATTGACTTGCTTGCATCCAACAGTAGTACTCTCCAAACACTGGATAATACATGTCACCAACGGTTCTGAAATCAAGAAATATGCATAAATGTGCCGCTTGTTTAATCTTGAAGTTTTACGTGAAAAGTACATACTGGGTTACTCAGGGCCAATGATGCTGAAATAGGGGAGACACTTTCTCATAGCCGGCTTTATTTAGCAAGAATCTACGTTGGTTTTCTGTACTATTGTTTGTTACAATGATAATGCAAACAGTTATTGCAGAAAAATCAGGCTCAGACAGTACGTAAATATTTAATTTTGCCGAACCCATTGACCGTGTCAGGGGTAAATATAATAAAAAAGGGAAGGTAATAATAATAATCAAAATAAATAGTAGAAAAATATAAATAAAGATCAAAATCTCATGAAGAACCATCCACCCACGTAGATACACATTGACTCCCAATTTACAGAAAAGATACTAGAAATTAGAAATCTTAGCCAACAGCTAATTAATACATCTTAGATAAAAATTCATTAAAATGATATTAACACCAAAATATTAACATAATATGAGGAAGACACATTTAATTAGAGAAAGTCAGTGTGTTAATTATTATTCTTCGTGAACAGAATGCGAAAGATAAATTTACTGAATAATTTACACTTAAGATCAAATAAACAGTAGGAGTTACAATTAGCAACCACAATATATTTCAAAGTCTTATGACCAGAACATTATTTACACATTCATTTATTATTATTATTATTATTTTTGAATGCCACCCATGACAATCAAGGTTATCTCCACAGTGGACAATAAATCAACCCAACTTGTCAGTATTCAGACACAAAATGCCGAGTTTGTGGTAGTTCACAGTCTACCTTCGATAACTGAAACCCATTACGCTTACTTCATTCCGAGTAGAAGAATTGTATTGCATTTTATAATACAATTCGAAACAGTCAATGTTGGGTTTATATCTTAGTGGCGAACAAGTATATCCAGCTTATGAGCATCAACTAGTATATCCTGAATAGTCCTGGTGCTGGCTGTCATAAAATGAGCACAATAAGTTTTCGGTAATGGTAGGCATAATATGTAAGGCGTATTCATGTGATATATACAAATAAAAAGACGACAGTACACACCACAACAATGACAGTATATATAAACAAGTGAAATACTAAGTAAGGAATACTGATAAATTTGACAAAACTCTGTCAGACACACCAAGAAAGAGTTCCGTTACAGTGGTACTTATATTAAGATTAAACTCACTTATATTGGGATGATTTAAACTTTTCAGGACACGAACTTCACGAAAAAGCTGGAATGCAAAAGTAAAGTGAATAGTAATATTAGTTGATTGGGTAAATATACACAATAAGCAGGCTAATAATTACAGTAAATATTTTTTTCTATTTCTATTTCTGTTCGAATTCTATTAATATTGAGTACGCTATCTCGGTTTAAGGTAAAGTAAAACATCCGCCATACTATTTTTTTGTAAATGACTCAGAAAATATTGTGCGACATAATTGCACCGCCTATGATGTGTAATAAAAAAGTAACAGCATTACCTGACGAAACGACTTAATTCACGGAAAGTCGAATACAAATCCCATACCTCAAATGATGCTGAATACATGATATAAATCAATAGCCAAACATTTACATTCATAGCATGAAAAGATATACTCTTTCAATAATTGCAATAAGCTTCTTCAACACTCTAGAAGACCGTTATTCCTAGAATTAATATTTGTTACTATATGTGACAAAGCTTTCCTTCAACTCGGTGGGAATAACTGAAAACATTAATCTTCTTCGAAATTATGTCAATATTTAAGAATGATGGCCAATTAAACAACACACCTATGATTCAATTCCCTCAGTGGAAATAATTTCTCAAAAACCATATATATACGATTGTACAGCTTGATAATGAATTCGTTGGTAAGATTCTCCTCGCTGAATCACTTGTTTTGATTTTCTGTTTAAAATAGATTACTGCTGCTGACCCTACATCATAATGGTGTGGATTTTAAGGAGACACGTATATACACTGTATCAAGTGGCATAATAAAATAGGAATTACAACTGCATAAGTCAGAAACGAGTAACTTCCCTCATATCTACGCAGTGTAATCCTACTGATCACAGCTTTTCACTGGAATTTTGAAAACTCTCAAAAATAATACGTGAAGGACGACAGGTTTTGTCTATCAAGTTTCTTTCAAATTACGGATCAACCGAAATAGAAAAAAGTCATTGTATTATGACTTGGTAGTTGAGTTGCAAAGTATGTGCAACCAGATTCAACTGTTGGGGGATGGAAGCAACAAGAAATAGTAACCACTAACTGCCTAAAAGTTTAAAACGGTAAGCAAACCTTAGCCTTAAATGGTTATACATCTGATATCAGTTTGAGAAGAATCCTACCTTGAAATCCATACGAAAACTTCCTTAGCTGATTTGAAACTACTAATCTACAAATTAAATTTAGCATAAAGAAGGCTAAACAAACATCAGAGTGCTTCCAAGAAGGATTATGTTGCAAAAGGAGCTGTTAAAATCTGCTAACGTATCAGGCTGCTGGTTTTATGATGAGGTGACATCTCTAGTGTAACGAAATACAATCATTATCAGTTGCTGAACAAAGCTCTGGTAAACCATAGATTCAAAAACAAAAAGTTGCTGATTACAAGGATTTGAAGTAACTAAAAAACTGAAAATGAATAAAACATGAACCCCCATAATGGTTGTCTATCAAATACTCAACAAGCCTACAGAGATAAATCTATTCCAGACAAAGCTTACTATGAGGCAGGCCTATTACGAAAATCGATAGCTATACTAAAAGTCTATTTTCATTATGATTATATATATATATATATATATATATATATATGACAAAGGTCATTGAAATTACTCATTTACCCGTACAAATATCATTAGTATGCATGTGTCTGTGAGTACACGTACAGTGTATTCAGGAATGAATAAGTTATTGATTGGAAAGTAAATAAAAAAATATTCCATACAAAATACATTATCAGTGAAAAAAAACTGTACATTTACATGGAAAGAAAAAAAATACTATATCAGTCTTCCCTTGTGTGAATCAACATTAAAAAACGAACATCTAGGTAGGAAATAAATTACAATAGTGATTCGTACAAACATATGAAGTTGTGAGCTACATTATTTCCATGTAGATGTGAGACTCTACAATAATAAATTCGCAAGAGACAGATACTTCTGTTGCATACATTTTCATATAATCTTTAGGTAAAAGCAGTAACAAATCTCTTTTAAAAACCAAACCCTTAGTAATCTTATAATCACGAAAACAGACTTGATATGATCACAATCCAAACGTATTAACTTAGATTACTAGTGCTTTCGATGATCAGAGAATCATTGAAATAAACGGAATCAATTATGCGTCAGTGTTTCAGTAGTAGAATGCTCCCGAGACATGCAGGAGTTCCCCAGGTTTGATCCTCAGCCGACGCATCCCAAGAACTCACTTAGCCAGGAGCAATCCCCGAAAAGAAGGGAGATTGGATGTATGGCTCGCAAACCCATTTTGTGACAAACAACACCACCCCTACTGGAACTTCGAGGCTTGACGTCTTATGTCTCACTCAGAAACATAAGGAATGGAGAAGAAACAGAAGAAATAACCTACAAGCACGAGACGACACCATTAACTGAAATAGTAAGTAACAAATAGTTTGATGAGGAGAACAAAACAAGTAGTTAAGCAAAGAAGTTATTTTCGGCGAATCCATTTTCTTTAGCAATGGAATTGCATTTATGTGCAATTTTTCATGAAAGAGGATTTTACAGAAGTGGTGATTTATCATAAATAGAGTTGTCAGCATTAATCACTGAATAAGAGGAGCTGAGTAAGGATATCAGAGTTATGTAAAAAGACTAGTTAGCACCATCGCTGAACTACTTGCTTTGTTCTTCTCATTAATGCCTGGATGAAGATTATTCATGAATTAAAATAGCTTGATTTTTGGACTTGGAAGAACTAATTTATCACCAACAAAAATTAAGTGATAAAAAATATAGACTGATGCAGGACTTGTTACAAAGGTCCACTAGTTCATATCACCATATTCTAGAACAATACACGGAATAAGTGAACACAGATACAAGAAGAGATGATGTGAAAAGATGGAAGAAAATGTTTAAAATCCTAAAAAACAATGATAGTGAGTAAAACTACACTAACATAATCGATATTCAGACATATAAACAAGACGTCAAATATTTTTTATTAACATTCCAGGGTGTAAGCCAACTCTGTGTCTAGGACTAACTGTCAATGAGTTCATAGACTGATATCGTGTTTTTATCTACTCATCCTCAGCATTTTTTGTAACGCAATCCTAATTCAGTGAACACATTTCGCTTATGAAGACGGGGTTTAATAACACGTGTTCTAGGTCAACACTTAGCATTATATTTCTGAACTCAAAATCACTCAGTCTGTAGTATCACCACGCGAACTATGCATATTTTTATAGCCTAGAACCAATAATGTCAGTGAATTTGCTACAGTGAATAATGCTTACTGTATATGGCCTACATCCCAGTTGTTTACAAAAAAAGTGGTATTTATCACCATTATGAAATCTCTACTGAAGGAAAGTGCATAAGGTGGTAATACAATGTTTACTCAGATACCGAACTACTAAGTTTCTCATGTCAAATTCTAAGAAAATACCCTTTCACATCTGAATGATAACAAAACCTGATTGGAAAAAACTGAGTTAATGAGAACATACTTTTGTAAAAACCATTATGTAACTACAAGTTTACAAAAATGTAACGCGAATTTAGGAAACCTCTTCAGCACATAGTAACTTCATCAGTTACAAGCCACAAGTGAGCATAAGCAGAAAAAGCCTTTCTCAATAACAAGATTATCCATTCATGAGGGCATATTTCTATCGATTGATGAAATTCTTCAGTGATAACATCCCTACTCCCTTTCAGTTTCCCATACATATCAACAATCACGATTATTATGCTACTCTTCCTTGGAGAATACGATACTGTAAGGGGTAGAAGAAACAAGTGAGTGTTAAGCGTACATTTTACTTTGATTACCCTGAAATCACTTTCCTAAAGTGATTATGCTTTTGCCCTGTAGCTTCTTTTTTCTTTAAAACACAAACTTGGTACAATATGGGCACTGTGAGATGCGTAACAACAATAATAAAACAACAGTATATAAAGAAAATAAGGAGTGAATGAGTGAAGGATATCATCCAGAAACCAAGCAAATATATTGTTCATGATCATTCGACAATAATCACTTCATGTTACTTTCGGAAAAGTAAGAGAGTAGAAAACTGCAGCATATTCGCTATTGTTTGCGATTCTTGGCTATATCTGATAACGATTCTTACCACCGATGTGAGCTATCTTTCTGACCCCGCGAGGGAGTAGTAATGTACCAACTGATACCAACCTAACACAAACATTCTTCATCCCACGGCGCCAAATCACAGGCTGACTACCTCTCCGCTTTTTAAATCCACGGCCAGCGAACAGAGACCGGTACGGAAATCTCTTGAATGACATTCTTAGCATATGCCCAAGCCACCGAAGTCAGTTTTTCCAGATGATGACATTCAGTGAATAGTGATCTCCACTGTATACAAACACACGCTGCTGGACCTTGGAATTACTCACACGATGATACCATCGGATGCAAGCAATTCTATGGAGGCGGCGATAATAGAATACGCAGTCGCCACATATTCTCAGCTCGGCGTGGCCACATTTCAAAGAAGAGTGTGATAAGGAGAATTCGTACGAATCTTCTCAGAATAATCCTTATTTTTTCATCATTCCTTTATTTTTTTAACTTCTCTCTATCTCTTTGTCTTATAATATACATCAAAGTTTTATTATATACTATTTTGAGGTGAAGTCCAGAGTTTCGTTCCATTATTTAGCACCAGTTGGAAGTACATGCTACATAATCACATCAAGAACTCTTACAATAAAATCCACTTAGCAATTAAGATCAAACAAAATAAGACTAATTCCTCTTCAGTGACCAATTACTGTCTAATGTACCTGGTTTAATTTCATTTTCGAAAAAGCTTTTTAATGACTTATTTTGCCCTCTCCCTATCTTTTAAAGAAGTAAAGGAAGGTGTTCACGATTAGACATATACCTTGCTAACATTGGTCAACGAGCAGAGAATATCGTACAAGGTTTCTGACTAAATCTACTTCTAATCATCTAGCAGACACCAGAAACGTTTTAAAAATAAATATGTAAATATGTGGCGTTTAACAGCAATCTTTTCGGTTAGTGGATCGACTCGTTCCAGCAATTTTACAGTTGCTGTTTTTTTTTTAATTTACAAGATAACAACTCCTGGGAACCAGTACACACCAATCACTTATTTCGCCTCCTAATACTATCCATCTAATGGTCTTTTAAAACAAAGCTGAATTTCAAATAAGCAATTTTTATTTCATCCAGTTTATTATAAAACATGACAAAATCAAGTGAAAATGCTTTTCGCTTACCTTTTGCAGACTTGAATGATTCAATAATGTTTTGTCGATCACTTTAACGGCAACCTTTTAGTAGTAGGACAAGTAGAAACAACAAAATAAAAGTTAAGAAAGCCATAGGATAAAAGAAGAGTTATTATAAAATGAAGTAGAGTGAAGAATATGGAAGTAGGCAATCGGTTTTCTAGTAATTTGTCATGAAATGAAACTTGTTCGCATACACAATAGATTTGATTCATTATCTATTGAATAAACATACACTTGATTGTTTGGTCTGCCTTAGTTTTATCTTTCACTAAAGCTTGTATACACCTGTTTTTATTTTGATGCAACTAGATTACTAGGTATTTTTTTTATTTTGAATGAAATCAAAACAAATCACAAGGAAGTAGACAGACTAAATAAAACATGATTTCTTTACTTTTAAAATATAAAATCTAAATGAATATAAAGAACAGACAAATGATCTTTTTGATTACATGCTTACTCCACAAATACGCGGATAGATATATCAAACAGCTTTCAAGTAACGAAAAATTTCTTGAGGTAAAGTAAAGGTTTTAATTATACTCGATGGGTGGTTAGAAACTATCCTAAATTCTTAATTGTCTTCGGTGAAATCTTTTTCATCTTCTGAAACTATCCTAATTCCAAGATGGTGTTGAATTGAGATGTGTTTCGCTTTTGAGATAAATACTTTGCATATTTCGTTTATCTGGACAATGAATACAGGAGCTAACAAATACCTTAGTTGACACAATAATTCAACTGTTCAGACAGAAATTTAGCATGGCTGTCTCTGTTCCAGCTTAAATAAGTCAGGGAGCTGTAAAAGATACCACAGTTTAACACCATAGGTTAGCTTGCGAACTAAAAGATATGCTTAATACTTCCTTAAAAAATACGCATCACAAAAGTATTATTTATTACAAGAAAATTTGAAAACTTAAAAACAACAAACTAACCAACTAGTGTAACAAACTTAAAACAATGTTTAAAGATAAATTGTCGCATACACATTCACATGAGACAGAATAATCGGTATTTTTTAATTTTTAACACTTATCAATGACAAATTTATCATCTATTAAGGTGATTCTATGCATTGTACATATATATGTAATAATAAGACCAGAGTCAGATTAAACTACGAAAAGTCAAATAATGCTCTAAATCTAGGCAAGTACATACACAGGGACTTCATTCATAACGCTCGTGAACAAACGATAAACAAATAAGACTAACCTTCATTCCCGTTGTAAGATGCTGAGCTAGTTTCACCTTTGCGAAATTCCCTTTACCAATAGTTTGGATTAAACTATATTTTCCCACATGAGGACGATCTTTCCATAATGGCCTGTTACTTGAATTGGATGTTGTGCTTTTTAGTTGTTGAGTGGGTCGACTGCTTGTATTGTGTTTGTTGGTTAAACTATTTTTAGTAGGATTCAAATAACTGGCTGTAGTGTTATTTGGTTTAGACACTGGTGTAGGAGTTGCGTATGTATGCGACGAAATGTCACTGTAGTTGTATGGTGTAGTGTTAGTGCCAGTTGTAGTCCCGGGCGGCCAATAGTAGTAATTTGGTGGGGCATGCATTGAAACTGACATCACATCTTGATTGTTAGGAAGACCGTTGGACTGACTAGTTCGAAAATTTGTATGTGGGAAGCCTGAATGGGGTGACTGGGATGACAAACGAGTGGATCCGGGAACGCCCACATGATTGTTCGTGTTTACAGATGTTTGCTGAGGAAGAACTGATGCACGGGGAGTCGTAGTTGATGGATTAGGACCCAAGCCGGAGGCAGGAATATTATTTTTATAGTAGTATGTTTGCATTGACATAGGTGCTTGGGGTATAACACTATCTGGACCAGAATAATAGACTGGGTGGGAACTCGAGGGCATGATACATAGCAAATTTTAAACAAATACTGAAGATTACCAAATGTTGTTTATCTAATAAATGTTTTATAAGCAAATAAGGATGTTTTGGATTAATCGTAGTTTATTTACAGAATGAATGAGATGCACGAAAAATCCACTCCCGTTGTCACAATCAAAAAGTAATATATTTACATGCTGAAAACAGAAAACAACACTTTAAGCTTGCGGTGAAATATACTGAGAATATGAGCAAATAACATCTACTCTGACAAACCACTTGAAAAAAGGTAGTAAGTTTATACAAGGATGAAGCTTGAAATAATAGAAAATATTTGTACCTCAGATGGATGATTTGCAATTAGTTGTGTTCTCTGAGCGAGTTGGTTATACTAAAACGCACTGAAGATGTTGTCCAGAAGGACGACGAAAGCTCCGTAATTAAACCAACCAGCTCAGAGAACACAACTGTAAAAGGATGAAGCTTTTAATCGACGCTGACAGTAATCATTAGTGGTTTAATCCTAATTTATAGGTAGGAGACATTATAGAATCATTTTTTAATGTGTAGTAACATTTGAAACTGTATACACTTTCCTGTATCCGGTTATTTCCTGCTGTATGAGCTTCAATAACTTGAGAATCTTATTTTTATTTATCCCCCCTTTAGTAATCTCCACGTCCATGTACTGATGCGATGTTTACTGACGATACACTTTTACACCTACGTAAATGATCTGGCTTTGTGTGAGAAGACTCCATTCTTCTCCTCTAAACGCTGCCATGCTGTTACGCGTTTGTAGTCTCTGCCAGATAAGTCCCATTCAATGTCTTCATTACATGGGCATTCCTATAAAATTAAAAGGGCGAACACAAATTTCCAGTGCCCATTACAGACCGATGAAGATGGACAGTTCACCTAGGGCAGTTGGAAAACATTAGTTCCAAACCCATGGTGAAAATGAGCTCCAAAATCAAATACGAAAGAATGGTACCTAAACCCTTTCCGATCCCCAGTAACCATAGGAGGGTGGCACCAGACATTTATCTGCCTGACTGTGGATTAAACTTTAAACCGAAGGCCAAGAAGATCCTCTTAGACAGTACCTTAGACGTCCTACAAAATATAGTGTGGTCTGATTTTAAGCTGTTGTTTATTGTCAAACTCGCTACTTTATGAGTAGTGTAACCGAAAGGAATGTTATTTTCCTGTGATCTGTTTTCTCTTATAGTCGTCATTTTTGCGAGTATTATTATCTTAATTCCCATGGTCTGACCATTGATGTTTGAAATTTCAGTCCAGAAGACAGTTGCTTCCAAAAAGCTTTCCAGTAAGATATTTAACACACCGTTTTGTAGCGCATTTCTTGATGTTAATGCCACATTAAGTTTCTTTAAGCAAAAAAATTATAAGCCAATGTGAAATGGAGCTCTCTGGAGTACTCATTTTTATACTGTTCATGCCTGGACACAGAATAGTATATTGTGATAAAAGTCAAAATGTTACGAATATGGAAATAAACCATGTAAGAGGCAGTAAGTAGTTCGATCTTCAAATAAGATATACAGTTTGCCACTCAGTGGTGGGAATCTATTCCCACAAGTGAAAAGACGCTAAACCAAGCATACTTGTACAGAAAGTGCTTAAAAACTAAAAGAACAGAAGATATACAATATATGACCACGTGTCAGAGTATAACTCAAATTATCTAATATACACATTTAACTTTAAAACCAAATTATGTGAATAGAGGTTATCAATACAGTTAACATAGAAAAAGCTTAGTGTCGTAGACTTCACAGAAATTCAATTCCAAAGCTGTAATACTACTTCACCGTAAATTTAATTTTTACAAAATTATTATTATTATTATTCAATCCTACTTTGCTGGCAGTAGATAACTCCTAAAACATTCTACAATTTGTCTGTAAGATGTACTCGATGTTCACTAAACCTAATTACTCTTGACCAGTAAAAGATGAGTAGATAGAATATACAATTTTCAAAATAATCTGCTACGGATATCGGAACTCTTATATCCGCACACTCATCTTCTGATTACATGCCAAAACCTCATATTTATCATGGAAGTAAAAAAACGAAGAGGCTTATTCTACAGCGAAATACAATCTTGACATCATTCACATACACAAATGATTGAGCACAGAAATGCAGGTTCTAGTCATCGTCAGGGAAACGGGTGGGAGAAGGCAAATCATAAGTGAGACTATTTCTGAGAAAAATGGCTCCTTAATTAGCTCTCAGGATAGACGCCTTGATCGCTGGAAAGAACAATTTGAGGAACAATTTAACTTGCCTACAGCCACACTGAACCTCCCCGCCATCCAGCGCACACCCGAATGGGATATAGACACCGGTCCGCCATCTGTACGTGAGGTCACAAAAGCGAGGTAAAGCGGCAGGACCTGACGGAATTATTCCGGAGGTGTTTAAATATGGGGGTGACACACTAGTATATAGTTTAACTAAGGTACTAGGTAACGTCTGGGAATCAGAGACGGTTCCATCAGACTGGGGTAAGTCACTTATTATACCAATATTCAAGGAGGGAGAAAAGTCCTCATGTGATAATCATAGGGGGTCAGCCTAACGAACATAGTTTCTAAAATCCTAGGCTCAGTAATCATGCACAGACTAAGCAGAACTCGGGAGGAACAAACGAGGGAAAATCAAGCAGGCTTTAGGCCAGGTAGAGGGTGCATAGATCATATCTTCACTCTCCGACAGATCCTAATACATAGACACACTTTTAGGCGTCCAACAGTTGCCATATTTCTTGACTTGAAGGCGGCCTTCGACTCCGTGGATCGAAAAGTACTATGGCAATGTTTGACTGTGAAGGGAGTGCCAAGAAAGTACATTGCACTAATCAAGGCACTCTACTCAAACTCACGTAGCCGTGTAAGGGCTCATGGGGAATTGTCATCTGAATTGATAACAACCAGTGGTGTCCGTCAGGGATGTTCACTTTCCCCATTTCTGTTTAACTTCATCGTAGATATGCTAATGGAAGTATCCTTAACTGAACTTAACGACTTAGGAATCGACTTGTTACCGGGAAATAGATTTATGGACTTAGAATATGCAGATGACATAGTCCTGTTAGGGAAGGATGCTGACAAAATGCAGAGTCTTCTGAACACCTTGAGCAGCAATCTACGTATGTTTGGTATGCGATTCGACCCTGTAAAATGTAAGATGCTGCTACAGGACTGGACCACGTCAACTCCTAGCTTAGTGATAGGGAGTGAAGTGATAGAACATGTTGACCACTTCACCTATTTGGGAAGTTGTATCAGCACCAACGGATTGATTGGTGCCGAAATCTCAACACGGATCCAAAAAGCTCGAGCCGCTTTCGTTAACTTACACCATCTCTGGCGTAGGCGTGACATCCGGCTGTCAACCAAGGGACGTGTGTACTGCTCAGCAGTTCGCTCCGTCCTTCTCTATGGCTCTGAAACATGGCCAATACGAGTTGAAAACATGAGAAGGTTGGCTGTTTTTGATCATAGATGTTTACGATCTCTTTCTCGCGTTAGGTGGTATAATAAGGTAAGTAATGTTGACGTTAGGCGTAGAGTGTTGGGCAAAGAGGGAAAACCAATCGAAGAGGCTATGAAGTTACATAGATTGAGATGGCTAGGTCACGTGCTGCACATGCCTAACCATCACCTCCCCCGACGGGCATTACTAGCTGATATAGGTGCAGGTTGGAAAAGAGTAAGTGGTGGCCAAACAAAAACATGGCATCAATCCATGAAAACCTTGACAGTTAAACTGAGTCAGGTAGGGAGATGCAGACTTCCGGGTCGGGGCCCGCCCTCGGGACTCTAAGAATCAATGGCTGGAGACAATAGGTGACATGGCTCAAAATCGTTGTCAATGGCGCAGATGTATTCAGTCTCTGTAATCTTTCACATTGCTTTCTGCCATTACTCATTCTATTTCACTCTTATACTTGTCTAAACTCTATTGATTCTCTTCACTCATCTTCTTGTCTACCTTTGTATGCTATTCGGAACGTGGCAACTCGAACTGCTGCACTTCGGTGCCAAGTTCTATGTTGAATCCACACAGAAAGCTACAGCATGTAAAGAGTACATTAGCAAAATGACGGTATGAAAGGTTATTGAACAATTCATCAATAGCTAATAAAGGCGTTCAAACATGTACGCAGTAACATTTCTCTAAATGCTGAATGCGCATGGTATATAAATCCTTAAGCATACGATTTATTTTACTTAGCTACTTTACCTACTGTTATCCAACTAGGAAATTAGCGATCAGTCATGGAGTATGATCTTTAAGTCAATAGGTGAAAATCATTGAGCAAGTATTCCGTATATAAGTCAGTGCGCTAGGAACATAGTGTATTGATTCAACATCTTGGCTTTTAAGTAAACAAATTACGAACGAAATTGCTAGTCAGTTCACAAAACTGCAGTGCTATGACATCAATTAAACTGCTGTGGTGATGACTGAGTCCACTGGTGTCCCAGATCCACATAATACGAATTGAGGTATTAACTATGAATGGAGTCTGTTTGCAATATGACCCAATATGCAATAGGGAATTGAAGAAATCAAATGATGTAAAAAGACTGACTTAAAATGAGGTTTTAATTCCTTTTATTTGTTCAGTGAATAAACAGACTCGATGCAAAGACATTTTTAAACTGAAGTGTTAAAATTAACCCGCTCTCACCTATCAGTTGTGCTTTAAGTAAGAATCTGGTACTTACTCATTTTAGTATTACGTTCATTTACGTTCACACTCAACGTTAAATCACTAAGCCATGGAACTTCAAAATTGAGTGTTGAAGAGACCAGCGATAGCGAAACACTTTCCCCTCCAATAATAAATGTGTAGAGAAACGGATTTCAAAGAGCCTGGAAACACTTTGTCACTCCAATATGCAGCGGCACAGGAAAGGAAAGTTAGCAGTAAAATGTTGTGAAAAGTCACGAATAGAAAACATGTCAACACCCGAAACTTTGATTGCAATAAACACGATATATCTGAACTAATGTAACTAACTGTAGAACATACGACCTAAAGTTTAAAATGCGTGACAGCTAACTTACTAACGACTTTATGACCATATTTATTATCGAAAAAACAGATTTTAGCTGATGATTGTCGTACAGCACGACGTCGGCGGTGAGTGCAACTACATCTAAAGTCTACTGCACGTTATTAAGTTTTATCCTTATGGAGTCAGTTAGGAGCTTGCTCAGTTTAATTTTTTTTTAAATATATTATAGTCAGCAAAGAACTTCATTTGTGTAACATTAGTTAAGCATTTATATTAGCCCATATGATTTTTCAGTATCCCTCCTAATGTGGCATCTCATCTCATAATAACTACAATTGTCAAAATTAAATTACCGTCTCAACCAGCTTAGACAGGAATAAATAATAGTAGCTTTATCATATTAAAGGTTTTTCTCTGTGAATTCAGGCTGTTTTAAAAGTGAAAATTCACACTGATACGAATATTTAAAAAAGTAAAAACATTCTGTAGTAGCGTGAGTTAAGTTATTCTGAATATACTATGCGTATAGTTTGTTTGCCAATCCTACTTAAAAGTGAGGATACTTATGAGCCCAAACAGACGAACATACTAATAGAACCTGGAAAAAACAAGCGGCATACCGCGCGTTTTATTTTTTAAGATGTAAAGAGAATTTGATTCAACTCTAGGAATCGTGCAGTTCCTACCTCACTTCTAAGCCAAACAAAACAGTGAGTCCATGTTTTAATTCAAGAAAGCATAACTGTAAATCTAGTTAAAGCTATCTTTTAGTGCAGAATGAATTTTGAGCAACGTCATAAATTATTTATACAGAATGACAACTAATGGTGGAAACATAAACGACAGACCATACACATACAAATAATATATCCCACACGGCTACATGAAAACTGCAAACCACTTTTAAGCTTTAGAATAGATACAGCGGGATCAGAATGATTTCAGCGCATCTGTGAAAACATTCGTCAGGAAACAACTGTTGTAAAAACTCAATGGTTTCTACTCAACAGCAATTATATCCATAGTATATATACACACTTATATTCTCCAGTCTACAGTTATCTGGTAAGCAGGAACGTATTTAAGTTCCAACAAAGTGTATTTACGTGGCTTATTGACTAAAGCACCCGTGTTACAGCCAATTAGTCCCGGGTGTGTCTCTCACATCACCTACTTCATCAAGGTAGTACCATTAGCCCTGACGTAATAAACAGTTTAGGATCCGATACATGAAGAATCTGTTGGGTTTACTGGATTCTAGGCAACTCCCAGATGATCAATGTATTTGAAAGAGATTCACATAAAAGCAGGCGTTCTGAATATATACATCAAACACGTTTAGGTCCGAACAACACAAGTATCACTAAACTAACAACCACAAAAACACAGAAATTATTCACATCTGCATATGCTTCATTAACAAGTAACCGCATACCTAACAAGCCAAAAGTCACCACGCGATCCTAGGCCCATAAAACAGCATAGAATAAAGTAAACAAAGCCTTAAACCTTTACAGAAGGATTTATGTGGAATAATTTGATTTTCAGATAGGAATGTTGAAATTTTATTCTAATTAACGCTGCATTATTAACACTGAATTTTTCTTAAGAAACTTCTTACTATGCAGTATATTAAATGTAAACATGTGACCAGATGTAAAGAGCTCCTCAATTCACTTTCTATAAAATGTTTAATGAAATATCGCAGGGCACAAAAATGTATATTTTGGAACACAGGTCTTCACAACAAAGGGAATTCGCAAAAAAAATATAATTATGAAGACGTGCGAACGAAAGGAAAATGGAGAAACCAGCAGTCTAACGATCAACAAAATACTGAACAGGACAATCAACAATATATATTAAGGCTAACTAGGAAATGATCGAAAATATGTAGTGCATATCTGCGAAGAATGCCAAGACATGTGTGACCAAATATCTACATAGAATTGTGGGTCCTATAAGCACAGGCTTACAACTTACGATGGCAAAACGGTACATACAAATCAAATACACACGCTCTTCAGTGTGAACAAATGCCAAAGTGAACACTTATACCCACAACATCTTGTCTACGTAGACGTTTCAGTATCAGCTCCATTCATTACTATCACCAAATGAGAGGGAATCTCGCAGCCCTGCAATACTGCTTATGGTTTTTTTACTGAATCGGTTGCCAATATGAGCAATAATACAGTCTTATTCGCACAGTAAACTTGAGAACGTCATAGAGTCAACAGTGTTACAGAATTGGAAAGAGTTCCCGTTGAAATACGTCTACACGAATAAATAGCTTAAAATAAATAACGATGACAACAATCATACATAATGTAGATAAAACCAACACATACTAACTCATTACCCATCATCACAGTACCCCCTCTAGAGTTAATAAAATTCATTCCGCGCACAAACTCCGACAGAGTGTTAATTGAGTGAACAGAACAAACAAAATTCAGCCTTTATGTTAAGAAAAAATGTACAGCACTAACTGAGATACCCAACAACTTTTGTTTTGTGATGTATAATCTCTGGATTATTTTACATCTTAAATAATACCAATCTGGTCAGTGATTTCATCACAAACTTGACTTGTTAAAGCCGATGATATGGCAATCGCACTTTCTTGACAGGTGAGACAGTGTTGTTACCTTGGATCAGACTGCTGCTTATCTCTGGATTCCTCTTTTAATTCCCGACCCAATCGCGGAAGTAGCAAGGCCATTTCGAATATGCGAATTCCTCAGACTTCCTGTCTGTTCGCAGGTAAATAGTCATAAAAGTTCAGTTAAAAGATATGGGGACTTGAATGAAAATCAACATTTGTATTATCTGTACCTGCGGAGACCAAATAAAAGTACAGGATTTCAAAATATTTCCGTTCTGTTGAAAAGTTTCGTGGCGCACTTACAATCATGAGAAAGGAATTCAATTCAACCACAAAATTAGCTGTCTTCAATGGGTTATTCTATCAATAGTGCCTTTTAACTATTATATTATGGTAAAAAGATTGATTTATTGACGTGGCTCGCTTGGGTGACAACATAAGGCTCACTCTCCTTCAGATCTACTTGCGCCTCATGGGTCTTTTCAATCCTGATGGAAACAATTTTGTTCTTGGCATGTTGTCAAGTGCTTTTTGAAGGACTCACACAACAAAAGTGTGCCGGTAAATGAGTTCCCATAACTATTAGTCTATAGCAATCATCACTCATCACTGGATACTGACCCTCACTGTTTAAGGTAACTCATTAAGCTAAAGGTTCGTGGTCGATTATCCGTGCCACTTGAGACGCTGTCATGTTACTTCGGTCGTTTATGAGCTACCACTATCTAAGTAATCATCGTAACACTATAATTCTGATCCCGAATTATATCTCGATTTACTGTTTTGATTTGTCTTCGTTATAAGCTGGACATGTACTATAGGAGCTGGTGGATAAGAAATTACGTCTGTATTCATTATTCATTACATGAACATCAACATCCCTTCATGACCTGAATTGATGGGCCCGTTGCGGACTTCGTCTAATCTAGTGAACACGCGAACAATTTTGTTAAGTTCGTTCCATTTTGCGTTTGTTCTTTTTGTTAACCTTATTACAGAATAACAAGTTGTTTTTATTTTGGGTGGCCTAACACTCGCAACGTAACGACTAGCTCTTGCCTTTTTCCCTGTATAATGCATCAACATATTTCTGTACACCGAGGCAAACTTCCTAGAACATGGGGTTACTGACCAACGTTCACAACTCCTGGCAGTTATACACACTCTGCCTCACGAATTGGGCAAGTGCGTCAGCACGCATGTGTTAACCCAAGAAGAAATTAACGACAATCCTCTCAAAGCAGAGCCTTGTGGTTTTAGCAAGGATTGAAAACTATGGGGAACTACCACACTGGCATACGTTGGCGGAAGCCAGAGCCGGTGACAGCAGGCACGCGCTTTATTTTCGAGATATGGTTACTAAAACCCGGTACTTGGTTGAAAAACATGTCGAGTTCACCATCTTTCCTGTCACAAATCACATCACGAGTTGTTTGTATGTTGGATGGAATGCATGAACCTATGCCTAACAGCGTACTTCCAATTCAATGGCCCAACGTATAAACAAGTTAAAAGAACATCCATGGGACCGCCAATATCAAGTTTGATTGCAGAAGCAGTGATGCAAAGGCTCGAAAACATAATCCTACCAAAGATCAAACCCAAAATTTGGATACGTTATGTAGGTGACACATTTGTAATAATCAAAAGAAACGAGTTGGATGAAACTCACGACTTAGTAAACAACGTCTTCAACGACATCAAATTCACGAGAGAAGAGGAATCCGAGAACAAAATAGCATTTTCGGAAGTCTTAGTCAAGAGAACAACCACAGGGGAATTAGAAACTCAAGTTTATAGAAAATCAACATACACAGACCAAATACTGAGTTACAACAGCAACAATCTAATAACACACAAAAGGAACTGTATAGAAGCACTATTCAAGAGGGCCAGGACTTATTGAAGCACTCACACCTTAAGGAAAATTGAAGAAAGATAATAATAATTTATATTTTCATATAAACATAAATTTACATGAAAATGCATGCCATTTTTACAGGCGCGATCAATATCTCATGGGCGCCTTCCAAAAGAATGGATATCCACGGAATTTCATCAAAGGACATATATCCCCAAGCCAACCTATTAAATCAAAGGCCCCAAACGAAAGCACGAAGAAAATCGCCCTACCGTATATAAAGGATATTTTAGAAATCACCGCAATACTCTTCAAATTTTTAGCAATTGCCATCGCACACAAACCAACAAAATCACCTCACCTAGCTTTATGTCAACCAAAAGATAGACTCAACAACGAAAGAAGATAAAACCAACGTCATCTACAAAATAAACTATAACAACTGCGAAAAACACTATAATGGCCAAAGTGGACTTCCCCTTCATCTTCGTATCCCTGAACATAAGCTAGCCGTCAAAAGACATGACATCCACTCCCTCATATCACTACATACGGACAACCACGGACATCAATTCGACTGGGAAAACGTTCAAATATTAGACAGGGGAAACACCAAGAGTGCTAGAGAAGTTTTAGAAGCCTGATATTCCAGTGAAACATCAATCAATAGACACATTGAGATAGACAGAATTCACCAAGCGATAAGAAGGAAACTTCACACACAGAGAGCCAGAGTTCAAGTCAAAGAAACAATCAGTTCCAATACAAGTGGCCTATAGGGTATGAAAACGCGAAAACAACCAATTGCGTTCAGGGTCACGAGGAAAGATGACTAATAAACTCGTGGAGAAATCTAAAAGCTCACTTCAAAAAGAAGTGTGCACTGAAGATGTTGTCTAGTAGGGCAATGAAAGCATCGCAAATTAACTATCCAGCTCAGAGAACACAACCATATCAATATCGTTCACCTGAGCTACAAATCTTCTCCGTCATATCTATTCAGTCGACTTTACTTAACGTCAACATTACGATGCCAATCAAAGGCACGGATCTGCTTTATCATCATGATATACTGGTAGATGCCCGCTTACAACGACTGATAGACTATACCACTAGGGTGTCTGTTATAGGTGTCACTTACGTTAGTCAACGCCTGCCAGTGGTTATGAAGAAAACAATAGTTGGATCGACTTCTCAACCGATTGTCGACAAATACATGGGATTTAGTTGTTCCTCAAATGATTCGCCGTGATTAAACAGAAATTTTATGCACCATATCACAACCACAGAACTACCAGTGACTTATGAAGTACGGGGACGTGTTCCTAATAAACTACGAATATAAAAATATGAATTGCATCAGAGGATCACACCATAGGGAGCCTCGCCTCGAATGATAGCGAAAAAAGACAGCAGTGATCAGTAATCCACTGATAATTATCGAGTACTGAACGCCGAAACGTTCCTAGACTTCTATTTGTTGCCGTGTATATACGACTTGGTAGCAACGTTATACGGTGGACTCTTTTTTCGAAAGTAGATTTAGTTGAAACGTATAAAAACTCTGACGGTACCAGAATACATTCCAAAATCATCTACCGCTAGGCCTTTCGGACTGTTCGAATTCCCACACATGTCACTTGGTCTCCCGGAAACAGATCAAACATTCTAACGCTTTAGCAATGACATGTTCTGTGGTCTCAACCTTCTAAGCTCATACTTAGACAACAACCTATTTGCGAGCAGAAAAAGTAAGCATCTTCGACACTAGGACTTGATATTATATGGGCCATGACATGATCTTGCCATCATTTTCGCAAATGTCAAATAGGAGTGGAATCAGTTGACTTTCTTGGCTACACCATGATCTGCAAGCTTTTCCATCCACTAGCCAGGATAGTCTAGGCGATTATAAATTTTCCGAGACCAAAATCTGTGAAAAATCTTTTTACTTGAAGCGGCTTCAGTCAATACCGACGATTCGCTCCCCAACTACGCCTCTGTAATTCAGCCTCTGTCGGACCTACTTCGAGGGGATAGCAAGTGCACTGGCCAATTCGGTAAGAATGCCTTCGTCCAATTAAAAGATGTCATCATTGATACCATTCTACTTGTTTATCAGGACCCAATGTCACTCTTAATTACCTTAGTCGATGCATTCCACACTGCAGTCGGGGCAGTTCTGCAACAACGGGTCTACACAAGGTGGCAGCCATTCACCTTTTTCTCGAAGTAGACAAAAACAGCAGGAACATAGCACAAAACAATTTAAGTGAATTCTTAGCTATGTACTGTGTCTAACGTCACTTCTAATAGCTCAGACCTAATGGAGCTGGCTTGGCTTCAAAAAGGGGATAACAAGCCCCAGAACTAGTGGCTGGAAACAACGCTGCAATTAACTAATGGGCGGTTGGGCTTAGGTAAAAACATTTCTACCTGCACTTCTCGTCCTGTCGTGCCTCGAAGTTATCCCTAGAACTTCTTCAGTACGGTACAATGCATATATCACCGAAGAATCCGAATTAAAGTCAGGCTTACCACTCATTGGCTTTGTTGGTCTGGCGTTCCAGAACGATAGTCTACTACCCTCAAGCCAATGGCGTGCCAGAACGTTTTCTCCAACAGTTAAAAGCCGGATTATCAGCCACAAAGGCTGGACACTGAAACAAGTCGCTACCATGGATCACTCTTGGTTTACGAAACGCGTTGCAAACCGACGCTATATGGTCAAGTAATCTACAATAGGAAACTCACGTAATTCCTCGAAATGAAGACGGGAGTAAGACAAGCTGCTTGCCTACTATCTCCAACGATTTTCCTAATTGCAGTGGACAGCGATTAGCAAAGAAACAGGCATAAAATGGACCCACACAAAATACTTGGAGGCTCTGGACTTCGCCGATGATATATGTCTGATTCCCCACAATCTGGAAGATATGCAAGTGGAGAGCAAC